GTCAACATTTGCAGGCTGAAGACAGGCTGAATTGATGCATAACGGACCAAAAATCAATTTTTGTATCCATTTTAATCAGCTGCAGACAGGCTGTTAATTATAACATTCGTTTAATGATATTTAGGGTCACGTAGATTGACACGGTAGCAATATTACTCCGTGCAAGTGGTCAACACGTCATGTCTTTCAGACAAAGCCATGGGCGCCGGTTGATGTTTTTTTAACTGATACAATATGTCAAACAAAAAGCAAGGGGCGCTACATGTTTCCAAGTCGCATGCACCAACTTGCCCAAAGCATTTTTTCTTTATTTTTTTATTTTTGTTCACTTTCCACTTTATTTATTCCAAATTGTAGAAGAAGATGGAAATCAATGTTGTCAACTATATTCATTTGAATAAGTAAACAAAGACCATTCCAGTTGAAATATTTGGTATAAAAAATTAGAAGAAGAAAAAAGAAATCGTAAATCAATTATTAACTTGTACTTAAAGAAAACGAATTTAAGTAGAAAGTCACCAATACTTTTGTTTTTTAATAAATATAATGTATCTAAGAGAAAAAAAATTAAAAAAAATTGAACAAACTCAATAAAACAAAATCTGGTACATAAAGTAGCGGTCATAAACTAAAGAATCTCGACCAATTTGGTGCAAAAACAAATGATTATCGATAGTAAAAAATGTTTGCAAATTAATTAAATTGAATTTCGAAATAATTAATCCATTCATATTGCATATTACTCAACAAACATTCACTCAATGTCTCATAACTCGAATCCAATCAAAGCCTAATTTAACTACAAAAAATATTACAAATGCAAAATACAATAATATTAAAAATAAAGAGTCAAAATAATTTAAAACTAAAAAAAAAAAAATCTCTAGTTTCAGTGGGACCAAGGACTCCATTGTTAAATTTGATGGAGCTCAAGGACTCCATTGTTAAATTTTTTTTAGATCATAATGCTCAAGGAAACCTTAGTTTTAAAAAAAAAAGTCATTTTAATGCATTGTTAAATTTGATGGAGCTCGTATTTAGCAAACTCGTGTTGTAAAAAAAATTATTGAAAGCCACTTATTTTAGTAGATAACAAACTAAGAAAAGTGAGAAAAAATGAAAAAAACACAAAAATAATATATTTATTGCAATAACTTGGAATGGAAATTACAACTTTTAGAAGGGGAATGTGACTTGTTAATAAAATTTGGATACGAAAAGAAAACTAAGTTACCGAATGACTACTTAATTTACAAATTATGCCATAGATATTCAAAGAAATTCGCCAAATTAGAGACCACTTGAGGTCACAGCCGGAGTGACATCATCAAAGCTCCAGAGATCCAATGCAGCTTCATGCGCCGGATTCGTCGCCGACGCTTCCACAGACTGACCATCGAGATAGGGAATCTGATAGAACTTCATGAAGTTCTCATAAGCCATCAACTCCTCCGACAGCTTCTGCACTTCATCCTCCTTCGCCGCTTCCTCCTCCTCCGCCGCCGCCACCACCTCCTCGATTTCAGTTCCTTTGTCAGCACTACCATTTTCATTCACCTCCTCCTCCACTTTAAAAAAACCCTTCATATCCTGATCAAAACAATACGCATTTTCCAATCCCCAACCCCACGCCGATCCGGGTACTTTCTCAATCGAGTACGGATTATACGAATTGTGATTATTATTACTATACGTCGGATTGTGATTGTGATTGTGATTGTACGCGTCGCCTTCGTTTGGGAAATTGACTTTAGCTTTTTTTCCTCTGATTATGCGGGCTTCTCTGTCGTACGCCCGGGCTGCTTCTTCAGCTGTGTTGAATGTACCCAGCCAAACCCGAACTCCTTTTCTCGGGTCACGGATCTCGGCTGCCCATTTCCCCCATGGCCTCTGCCGTATTCCCCTGTACAGGTTCTTCCTCTGCCGCTTTGTATTTCCACCCGTTTTCACTTGCTTATCACCTGCATGTATAACTTCCTCGATCAGATTCTAGATATAGCCTAGGAAAAAACGCAGCAAAATCTAGTTAAATATTTACCGGTATAAGTTTGGGATCTTTTGAGAGGCTGAGAGCCGTTTTGGCTGCAGGAGTTGGAATTGTTGGGTTTGGCAAAACGAGAATCTGGCCAGAGGTCGGCGGCGGAGAGATGGCTGGCGGCGTTGCTACGACTACGAGGGATGAAATCGGCGAGGATTGCACCACCACACATTCTCGATATTGATAATTGTGATTAATGATTAAAGAAAATAAAAGAGAATCAGAAATGGAAAACACTTGAAATTCGATTTTGGGTAATATTTTTGACAAGAGAATGTATCGAAGAGTTGCAGTATATATAAGCGAGAGGGACGAAAGGTTGGTGAAAGTGATTGCACTGTTTGACAATTTTTTAATTAAAATCAAAATTTGTTCATTTGAAAACGTGGTAAATTCAAAGAAGCTATTAGTTGTTTTGAGTTTCGTCACATGCACCCCAACAATGACATATATACATACACTTGTATCTTTTCTTTCTAGTAACATGTAGAAGAAATTAAAGTTTAAACAATTATCCTTGTATTTATTTGTTGTCTTCTACAAATTCCTATATTCACTTTTTATTAAAAAAAAATTGAAATGTGCACGATATTCATAAGTCGGTGGCAACAAGCCTTGAAACAAAGTCTTTTGAATTAAGATAAATGAACATAATGTTTGACATAAGAGTTGACCGATCACTCACATTACATGTAGGTCCCAACCTGAATTAAATAATGCCGACCTCCTGGTGTGTGTTGTGTCATTCCCTATGTCAAGCATTATGTTTGTGTAGCAAAACTCAAGTCTTTTATCTAAGGCTATGTTTGATATGCCAACTTTTCCTTAGAATTTGGAAAATCAATTACTTTTTCTTGCTTTTTGGGTTGTTTGATGAGCCAAATTTTCCACCTAAAATATTTTCTTGGCTGCTGGGTCATGCGCCCAAATTCCATGAACCATGAGCTGCTGTCCATTTTTTTTTTACAATGGAAACAAATGTCATGACTAGGGATAAAAAAAAATCTCACTTTAATTGACAATTTCCATATAAAACAAAGCCAAACGAATAGAAAATTTAAAAATTTTTCAGGTGGAAAATTATACCAATCAAACACACTTGAAATCGTTTTCCCTGCAAAACATTTTTTAGGCAAACCTTTTCNAACGAACACTAAATTTTGATTAAAACAATGATTTTTTAGGAAACATTTTTTTCCTTTTTTTTTTTTTTTTTGCTTTTTGGCAATGAGAACAAATTTTATAACCAATTGTGGAAAAAATTATCAATTTAATATATACTTTCCATATAAAACAAAGTCAAACGAATAGAAAATTTAAAAATTTTCTGAGTGAAAAATTATACCGATCAAATACACTTGAAATTATTTTCCCTGTAAAATATTTTCTAGGAAATTATTTTCCCTAGAAATCATTTTCTTTCCACCTATTTTCCACCCTTATAATCAAACGGACCCTAAAAGTTTAAATTAAGAAATGTATTCATTTAAATTATGTTGTAAACGTTGGTTCATTTCTCATCAAATGTTTAACATGTCATGTTTTATAATTGTGCAACAAGACGTCTCTCTA